TTCTATCAACTATATTTCCTAAGCTGAAAGTCAGGGTGTATTATTTGGTAATCCAACAGCAAGTCTGAAAACCAAATTGTAAAAAAATAGTATACATACGTCTTTTTTCCTGCACAGTATTGCTTCTCCAAAGATATTATCTGGAAATACAAATAAGTAAAACAGGCAAATGCCAAAGTATACTAGCCAAAATTTATGTGTCCGTAGGGAAGACATTAAGAGCTGGAGAGAATGAGGGACCTGGGTTCCAGCACCAATCAATCTCAACACCGTCAGCACTCCCTTAAAAGAGCTTCTCAGAATTTCTTCAAAAATCTCTGACTGACAGACTACAGCAAAAATGAAAACTCATTTGGATTCATAAGTAGCCTCGAAGAGAAAGTTACTTACATATCAGTTTAACTGAGAAAACGTCATACTAAACTGAAGACTGGTCAGATCATTAGAGTTCCAAGCACACTACTCTGAGATTCCATTTCCTTGTGGAAACAAACACTTCTGTCCCAAATTGAAATGTAAGGTCAGAAACACTAAAAGAGAGGACTTGGCCTATTCAGTAAACACTTGCTCAACAAAGACTTTTACCTGGACCAACAGAAAGCACATGGGGAATGCACGTCTTGATTAATGACCTCACATGTAATTTTCTCATCCCATCATGAAAATCTAAATTCGTTACTAAAATTAGAAAGTCACAGAGCCATTCTTCAAACAACCAGATAGATGTTTTTACCTAATTATTACTATTAATTGGTCACTCCCGTCAGTGTAAGCAGATATAACTTTTCTGCACAAACTTGAAACCATCTAAGTTAAGTTAGCACAGGTAACAGGTATTTTGTTTTGTTTGCAGAAACTAAGTTAAAACATTCAGTAGGGCCGAAACCGGCTCAGTGGATAGAGCTTCAGCCTGCAGACTGAAAGGTCCTGGGTTTGATTCCAGTCAGGGGCATGTACCTTGGTTCTGGGCACATCACCAATAGGGGATGGGGGGGGGGGGGGGCGCGGAGGGATGTGCAAGACGCAGCTGATCGATGATTCTCTCTCATTGATATTTCTAACTATCCCTCTCTCTTCCTCTCTGTAAAAAAATCAATAAAATATATATTTTTTTAATTCAGTAGAAAAAGAGCATTTAACGTCTCTTTTTCTTTCAAGCCTGGAAAGAATAAGTTACAATGCAAAATATTGTCATTATTGATTTATACCTCCATAATGTTGAGTACTGTTCCCTATTTACCAGATTAGTTCGTACAAATCATCAAAAAGATACTATCTTCTCGCTTATTTTTGTCTTTTCTCACTATCTTGGATAAAGATGAAAAAATATTTTTTTAATATCAGTTTAAAGTATTAATACTTATTAACATGGCTTTTTAAAATGGCAAAAATGCTCTCATACACATTATCTTGCATACATATTACCAATTCTGGGGTTAGACTGCCTGGTACTATATTCTAGTTCAACCACTTGGGGTTACCTTAAGGAAGTTACTTAACCTCTCTGTGCTTCAGTTTCCTCATCTATAAAGTGGGATTACAGCCGAAACTGGCTTAGCTCAGTGGATAGAGCGTCGGCCTGTGGATTGAAAGGTCCCAGGTTTGATTCCAGTCAAGGGCATGTACATTGGTTGCGGACACATCCCTGGTGGGGAATGTGCAGGAGGCAGCTGGTCGATGTTTCTCTCTCATTGATGTTTCTAGCTCTCTAGCCCTCTCCCTTCCTCTCTATAAAATAAATAAATAAATATATACATACATACATACATACATACATAAATAAAGTGGGATTACCAATAATTCTTACACCTCACAGGATTGTTATAACAATATATGTAAAATACTTAAACCAGTGCCAACCACGTGGTACACACTACATAGCTGTTAACTTTTTAAATTATTATAATCAATCATTATGTTTGGGTCTAATAATCCAATATAATAAAAGCCTAATATGCAAATCGTTCCTTCAAACAGGAGTTCAACCAGGGGGCAGGGCCGGCTGGCCAACCCTGGGAAGGGAGGCCCTGGGTGGCAGCTGGCAGCTGCTAGGGATCCTACCCGTGTGCACTGGGCCTCTAGTGATTATCCATAAAGATAGAACAATCATTTTAAAACCCTTTTTCCAGATAAGGGAATCAGGTTCAGAGAAATCAAGTGACTAATCCAGAGTCAGAGTTAAGAAGTAAAATCAGGACTAAAAACCCAAGACTAAGAAATAATCAAGACTTTTCACTACACTGTGCTATATCATATCACAGAGTATATTTCCTGAGTTTATATAATTCAGTATACTTCTAAAGACATACTCTTTTAAACATTTAAATAATTAAATAGGCAGTATACAATGGTAGCCACACTAAGAATGAGTCTGTTATCCAAAAGATAACTACAACTCTTTTAAGTATTTTTTGAGTAGCAAAATGAGTCAAACTTCTTAAGAGAAGTACACACCAGGTAATTAGGCTGGCTGGACAAGATGAACATGACATCAGTTTTCCAATATCTAGAGTTTCTTTTAAATAGCAAAACATATACCCCAAGACACTTCCATGTTATGACTTATGCTGCACAGTGGAAACACGATGGCATTTTAGAGTCAAAATTTCAGTTCCATCTTTTCAAGCAGGGAACACTGGACAACCATGTCAGTCCCCTGAGCTTCATTTACCATCTGTCAAATGAGATCCTACCTCACAAGGCTGTTATAGAAATAACTGTGATGATATAGGTTAAACAACTTTGTAACTATAAAAAAAAAAAAAAATCAAACAAAAAATGTGTTAACATTACTATTAGCTACTTTGATTACACTGAGAATAATGAACATTCAGTTATTCATTGATCACTTTTTTCTTAGAAAATTGCTGACAAAACTCATCTAAAATAGAAGTATCATCCTGGGTATTTTGTATAATTACAGTATATTATGTGACAATCTGGATTGGATAGCACAGTGAAAGAACGGGCAGTCGGAAATCCCTCAAGGGGTCCCAGATTCGAGAGGGTACAGGCTGGACTGAGGGACACCCCCCTCATGCACGTATTTTATGCACTGGGCTTCTAGTACAAAATAAAATACAAAATACACACACCAAAATTTATTCACACTTGATAGTTCAGAAAATAGAATATTTCAGTCCCTCAGATACTGTGAATATCAATCACAACAATGTAGTAATAAAAATATAAAATACCTTCAATCATTTAAGGTCTCTGGCTCGGTATATAAAGCATCCAATTCTGTACCAAGCAAATAAAACCACTCCTAATAGCATTTCATAGAATCCAAAGGAAAAAAAACCGTAAAGTTTTTTCATACTACCTATGTACAAACTATATACTATTCATACTACAATTTACAAAGCACCTATTTGCAAAGCACTGTGCTAGTTACTACCATCATTCAAAAGTTAAATGAGACCCCTCTTTTTCAGAAGCATAAAATATAAAGTCAAAAGTAGAAATAGAGTCCAGCCAGCATGGCTCAGTGGTTGAGCATCGATATATGAACCAAGAAGTCACAGTTCAATTCCTAGTCAGGGCACATGCCCAGCAATGAGGAAAAAAAGAATAGTGTTCCTCTACCTAGACTGCCAGGGTTTTTTCCACCCAATGATTTCAAAATAAAAACCAGTTTCATAAATGACTAAAAATGAAGAAAGAGTCTATGTATCTCATGTATATAATATGTGCTTTTAGTTATATATTTAGTTATATATATATATATTTTTTTAGGAACAATAATAGATGTGACATCACATTTAACAGTGAAACTGTCAGACCCAACAAAAATCACTAAGTGACTTAGTGAAGTCTAGAACTGGAAGTCAGGAGATCACTAAATAGCACTAAATAGCTCTGTGACTTTGGAGGAAATAATACCAATCTTTCCTGGCCTCCTAAGACTTATTGTGCCTTTGGATAAGTTATTAAATTTCTCTAGGTCTATTCCCTTATCAACAAACTGAAGAGTTGGACTAGAATACTTCTATTAAAAACTTTAAGTGAAAACTTTTGGTCCCACTCCCAGTGATTCAGAATGTCTGGGCTGGAATCTAGGAAGCTCAATGTTCACCAAGCACCACAGGTGACAGAAATACACAGAAGATCATCAATCACACTAAGGACATTACAAGTCCTAGACCCAGTAAAGCAGTGGTTCTCAACCTTCCCAATGCCACGACACTTTAATACATTTCCTCATGTTGTGGTGACCCCCAACCATAAAATTATCTTCGTTGCTACTTCATAACTGTAATTTTGCTACTGTTATGAATCGTAATGTAAATATCTGTGCTTTCCAATGATCTTAGGCGACCCTGCTAGCGGTTCTCAATCTGTGGGTCGCAACCCACAGGTTGAGAACCACAGGATCTCCTATGCCCTAACGGTATAAAAAGATGACATAATTTGTGTCAGTGCCAAGGTCTTAGGAATTCTGGATCTAGCATACTGTGCAGAACACAGTAGATGCTAAACAAATATTTATAGAGAGGAAGGAGGGAAGGAGGAAGGAAGGGAGGGGATAAAGAAAGAAGGGAAGGAAGGGAGGAGGCCAGCTAACTGGTCATATTTTTGGCTAAGAAACATACAAAACTGTAGTAAAATTAAAATTGGTTAAAAACATACATCAGCAGCTGGAAAGCAAAGACTTCAGTCTCTATACACATTTTTTTTTTTTTTTTTTTGCACACATACAATTTTAAATATAGTGGAGTCCTTGTCAAACTGCAAAGTATTAAGGAGGAAAGGAAAAAACACTACATGGAAGCCAAAGAATTCTAATGGAAAATTACCAATGACTAAAACTTAGTCATAGTTTTCACCAGGTAGAATACAGAATTTTAAGAACTGGGACTTGTAATTGGAACTAAAGTTTGTAGTTACTGTCTATTTATATGCATAAATTTTAGGTAGGAAAATATATGGATTCCAGAAATATTGTTGGCAATATTAATTTTTGCCCATTTTTAATTTTCATTTTCCAATTCACTTACATTATAATTTTTGAGATGTTTTATCTTCACTTCTGATGATCTTCAAATGTCAATGGCTCTTAACACATTAACTGTAAACAAACACAAAGGAACTTAGGGGAATTCAGATATTTAAGGAACTCTACAATAAAATATTCTAAATTACTCTATAAATCCTGTGGGGGAGGGACAAGAAAGGGTGAGAGGAAACTTGAGCACCTTATTACTTGCTTCACAATTTTTCTGATGGTTAATGTAAAACTCTTCTTTTGAATGGCAATGAGACTATCCTTGTAATCATCAAGCAAAGGAAACAAAATCAACCTATTTTCTGTGGAAAGAATAAAACATTCAAAGTTAGAGAAAATTCTCTCTAAATATGAACACTCTGAACTCACTAACATACTGTGTGCTTATCCTTCTCCTCAGCAGTGCAGTGGTCAAGGAAATTCACTTTCTTGTCACTACCACACAATCGACCTACCCTGGGATAGTCTTCTTACTACCAAGTATTAGCCTAGACCTGGGCAGCAGATCTTCAGGTCCTCTACAGCACATAGAGCCTGGAGTTAAACAGATTTGGGGTCAAACATCAAACTGTTCACCCTAATTTTCAGTTTTCTGATCTGTAAAATGGAAACAATAATACCGTTTATTTTTTATAATTAGGATTATATGAGACAATACATATTTAGCACCATGCCCATCATATAGCAAGCACTCAGTAAATGTTAAGTGCTGTCATTTTTATTAGTATTGCTGATTATTAATATAAATATTAATTTATTACTACAACTACTATCCATTCCTTGAAAACCAAAGCTTATCTCAGGTGTTTTTATTTTTAGGTACTGCCTTTGGTTATAATTGAAAACTGTTATCCAATACCAGTAACAGAGGACATCTATCCTATCAAATAAAGAGGAAATATGTTAACTGACCCTCAACCCCTCGCAAAGATGGTGGCGCCCACAGCCAATAAGGAGGGAATATGCTAATGGATGCCCCGCCCTCAAAGATGGTGGTACCCACAGCCAATAAAGGAATATGCTAATTGAGTGCCATACCCTCAAAGATGGCAGCACCCATAGCCACAAGATAGCAGCGCCCAGTCCTCTCAGCCCCACCAGGGCCTTGCGGTGTGCCTGCCTCTGGAGTCCCCCAGTCCCCTCAGGCCCCCAGCTGCCCAGGGCCGGCCCAAGACACAGGCAAGCCTCGGATGGCAGCTTCACTAAGAGGCAACCAATGAATGCATAAATAAGTAGAACAATAAATTTAAGTCTGTCCCTCCCTAAAAAAATAAAAACAAACAAACATAGTCCAAAATGACCAACTTCATTTCCCTTATGGCAATCAAACCTTTTGAATTAAAATGAGAGAAAATATCTAAGTAGAACCTGAGGCATATTTTGGGGGGAAATAAAACAAATGGATACATGGCTTGGACATGAACATCAAACTACCCAGGAATAAGCAGTGTAAGCCATCATCCTCATCACCACCACTACTTTACCATGCAATGCTTTGAGCTCTTCAAATAAAATAAATGAATAGCACAGTTGCTCATTCTTCATTTGCTTTCTACTTGCCTTTCACCTAATGATCTAGCAATGATTAAGTGTGTTCCTTTTATTTTCTGGTCCTAGATTAGGATCATAAAAATCTGTCCCAAGATAACAGATGCAAAAAAGGTAGAAAATTAAAAATGCTCCAAGTTTAGAGTGTTCCAAAAGACAGTTCTCTGTTTTTGTCTGCTACAATATATCACCACTCTCTTCCAGTGTATTTTCTATTTTGGTCCTTGCATTTGCAAATCTAAGACTGTCTCTGGCATAAGTGTTGTAGACTTTAACTGGAAAATGCCTTTCTTGCTTTAAAACTATTCGCTTGGTATCAATGGGAGAAGCCGCGGATTGCCTTCAATACCCAGTCTCTCCTATCCTTAACCTCTAACTCACACCTCATATCCTAGTCTCCCTTGTGGCTAGGTATGGCCCTGGGGACCATGGTTCAAGCCAACTGTAATCAAGCTTCAAGGACTGTGAGACTTCAAAAAAGTATCCTTTCAAGAGAGAGAGCAAGTCTTTCTTCTTCCCATTCTCCTTCCTTTAGACTAGAAAGAAGATGCAGTGGTTAGATTCCAATAGCAATTTTGGTCCATGAAATAACACTGAAATGTAAAATAAGATATATTAAGTTAGAAAGAATCTGTGTCCTAGATATCTCAGATTTACTATATCAGAACTATACTAACTACATCTTTGGGCTTTTCTGTGCTAGAAAAATGATCCCTACTTTAAGCTACAGTTAGTTTGGATTTTCTGTTATACTCTGCTAAATCTAAACCCAAACTTAAAATAAAATGGGGGGAAAAAGTTTTCCAAGTATCAGTATTCAGGTTTCTTTGAAATCTACAGATTAAAATATTTTAAGTTAACTTTTATTATATTAATAATACATCGCCCTTATTTTACTTAATCTAAACTAAAAGCATTTAATGAAACTACAAGTTAACTACATCCAGTAAGAATCTTAGAAAGAATGAAAATTTATCAACAATTACTGCCATGTGTACTTTGTACTTGAGCAGGGGAAGAATTACAAAGCTTGCTCATTAATGATCTATGGTGATGACAATGTTGATGCATACATAGAAACACATTAAGAGAGATGAACACAATTATTAATAGTTATCTGTAATAAAGCTACAGCGAAGGGAATTGAAGTTATTTTCATTGATACAAGGTTATTAAAATTAAAGTGATTAGAGAAGATGCCCTTCTCTAATCACTTTAATTTTAATAACCTTGTATCAATCTTTTCTTTTTTTAATAGTTCCATTTTTAACCTGACTTCCTGTGGACAGCAGCTTATAAAATCACTCCCAACCCTGACTATTGCCTCTCAATAGCTTTTAATCCTATACACTGATTTAACTAAATCATACAGTAGGCACAAAGTGCTTTACCTAATCAAAACTAATTTCCTTAAAAGGGGAAAATATTCTGTACTAAAATCTAGAGAATTTCCACTGGTCAACTCCTGAGTCCCATACCACTTTTGGCCCTGGAGATTCTGGCTACAATAGCATTAACCTGGCAGCTTTCCAAAACAAACTTAGTGCTTTCTGGACATCTGTATCTGGGCTATTTCCTTCCCTTGGCATAATCCAAGCTTTATTGATTCAGATGATGTCCTGAATTTTTACCTCTTCATAGCACTTTTTTCAAATGCATGTTACCACTAATGTATGTCACCAACTATCTATTTTTAAGAAAAAGCCTAATACATGTATTCTTGCTTTGTATTACCCATGGCTGAGAAAGAAAAGAGTTGGGGAAATTTCCTAACAATCAGATATAATTAGTCTACAAGAGAGGACTTTTACTTTCTACTATGTCAGTCAATATTTTACAAAAATACTCTTAATAGGCTTATAGTAGGTAGTTCTAACATAGATCTTAGTCCATTTCCACTAATATTGATGAAGTTACTAGGCAACAATTAGTAACAGGTTGAAGGCAGTGGTTCTCAAATTTGCCATGCATCAGTATCACCTGGAGGGCTTGCTAAAACAAACTGTGGGCTCCAGAGTTTTTGATTCAGTTAGATCTGAGGTGGGACCAGGGAATTTGTATTTTTAACAAATTCCCAAGAAATGCTGATGTTACTGGTCAAGGGACTGTGGATCTACATTAATATGAAACTACAGATGATAGCATAGGAGGGGAAAAGACGTATATGGGTCCCAATCTCAGCTTTAGTATTAATTTATATACTTTTGACTAGCAATTAATTTCTTTAAATGTACTTTTAGGAAATCTAACAATAATTACCGATAAGATCATAGTAATACTGGATCTTATCTTACAGAACTTTGAAGTTCTTTTAGAGTCCTGGAATAATGAAATCCAAAATAAGTAATTTTTAGGCTACCAGAATGTTCAATGTCTGGCTCAAGGTGCTACGACTAAGATCAAGATTGGAGGGTCAACCTGTTAGCTTCACTTTGTTCTGTAGCTATAGTTTCTACCACTAATCCTGGCCAGCTGCCTCAGAAGACACACTAAGTCACAAGGGAAATGTAAGAATGTTTGATTGGACACAAATCCATCACTACTACTGTTAAAAAAAAACCCTAAAGCACATTTCCTACTGATGATATATTTCTAAGTGCCCTTGAAGATAAAGCTAGAAATGAGACCTTGCAACAAAATGTGTTTTAGAAATCTTAAACCTCTTCTACCTCTTTAAGACTATAGGTATAATCAAAATTCATACAAACAAATTTAGGACTTGCTGTTTTCAAATGATGATAATTTTAAGGAAGGCATGCCACTTAAAAATACAAACAGTTGGATGCTACTATTTTTGGGATAGCTACCTCTCCTTTGATTCTTTTAATCCAAGTTAAATGTAAACAGAGGTGCTCCTAAATGCTAATGAACTTATAAACTAAAAATCAGCTGATAAACCAAAACAACCTGAAACAGACCAGTGGCGCCAAGAATATCTGCATGAGGATATATAAAGGATGAAAGAAATACACATTAAATAAAATGACTGATTAGATAAGTTAGAGAGAAAAAGAACAAAGTAGTCGAGAGTAGCAAATGGAAAAGCAAGTAGGCTAAGAAAAGGTAATATCATGAAGATATATAGGACTAGACACAGAAAACATAATGCAACAAATAAAATCAGCTCAGGGAGTAGACAGGCTTCATGGGAGAGAAACTTCAGGTTGTACCTGACGATGTGACTTCATAGGTCAAATACGACAGTGAAAAAAGGGGGGAAAATTCAACAGAGAAAAACCCCTTTTGTCTTAATATATTTTTATTGATTTCAGAGAGGAAGGGAGAGGGAGAGACAGAAACATTAATGATGAGAGAACTATTGATCGGCCGCCTCCTGCATGGTCCCTACACAGGGAAGGAGCCATGCAACCTGGGCATGTACTCTTGACCAGAATCCAATCTGGGACCCTTCAGTCCTCAGGCTGATGCTCCATCCACTGAGCCAAACCAGCTAAGGCTAGAAAAACCCTTTTTTTTTTTTTTTTAATGTATTTTATTGATTTTTTTACAGAGAGGGAGAGAAAGGGATAGAGAGTTAGAAACATAGATAAGAGAGAATCCTCGATCAGCTGCCTCTTGCACACCCCCTACTGGGGATGTGCCCAAAACCAAGGTACATGCCCTTCACTGGAATCGAACCCAGGACCCTTCAGTCTGCAGGCCGACGCTCTATCCACTGAACCAAACCAGTTTCGGCTACAAAAACTCTTTTTTAATCCTTTGAATGAAAACAACAAATAAGAAAAGTGGTGAACATTTAGTCAACATTTCTTTATTCAAACGTTCCCTGGTACTTAGCTATAATACAGTTGACCCTTGAACAATGCACGGAGTTGGGATGCCAACCATCAAGCAGTTGAAAATTCAAGTACAACCTTTGATTTCCTAAAAACTTAGCTGTCCCTTAGTATCTGTGGGGACTGATTCCAGGAACCCCTGCAAATACCAAAATCTAGGGGTAAGTCCCCTCATAGAGCATTGTAGATAAATACATAGAATGGCCCTTTACATCTGAAACAGTACAAGCATTCACTGAAAAAAAACACACAACACCATATATAAGTGGACCAGTGCACTTCAAACTGTTATGTTCAAGGGTCAGCTGTATTAGCATTTGATTATGTACAGTAAAATGTAAAAGAAACATATCAAGCAGTAAATTTTATAACTGTACAAACTGAAAAATAGAAAACCAGAGGAAGGAAGTAGAATATCAATATAGTGTTCAATTTTCATACAATTCTGAGGCTCTCATAGATAGCTATCATCACTACCCTTCATTATTGTTTCATCTACAGCTTGTATAAGGCACACTTATATCAAGAATCAGAGCAATACCAACAAGAATAAAATTATGGAATACAGCCAGATTATCACTATGCTGAAGTGATTATTTTCACAAATCTCTGTGGGGCTTAACAATTTGGAGAATGGACAATAAATAGCAGGATATACAAGAGCTGCTGAACAGCTCACTGAATGAAGCAGGGCAATAGCAAGCAGGACTCACCAAAGAAAATTAATCTTTTTAAGGATGCTAACTAACAGAAACTGCTATCTGGATACCACATAAAGAATGAAATGCACGAGGAAGTAAAGGACAGCATAAGAAATATAGTGAATAATATTGTAATAACTATGTATTGTAGCAGGTGGGTCCTAGACTTATCAGAGATTATTTCATAAGTTATGTAAATAACTAACCATTAAGTTCAATGCTTGAAACACTGAATGTCAACTGTAATTGATTTTTTTTAAACAAAGGAAAGATGAAATTGCTCTTTTGTGACCAAAGGCATCAGGCCTGTGACAACTTGGAAGGCAATAACAAGTTTACGAGTGTGTGTGTGTGTGTGTGTACGTATGTTGACTATGAACTACAGATCCCACAAGAGTCAGTCATCCAACTTCAATGGAGGGTGTCATTAAAAAAAAAAAAAAGCAACCAGATGAGTTTGTGTATTATTTTTCAGATTTATATACTTCCCAAAACATCTTACAAACAAGCATATTTAAACATAACATAGTATTTAAACTAAATCATCTAATAGAAGTACTTGAAGAAATCAGAGATGAGTATATTACCAACTTCACTTACAAATCTGACTGAAGTCTCTTTTTGTTAAACTGAAGAGGAAAATGTAGTTACATAGTTTCCATTTTCAACCAAACAGAAAGCATACATATTTTTTTTGCACAAAAAAATTTTCCTTGGAGTTAAACTGAGCAGAAATTTATGTCAATCTGGTATGTAAAAGTCAATCTGTAACACATGGAACAGTATTAACTATATTTTAAAGGAGATATCAAGACAAATTGGCCGAAACCGGTTTGGCTCAGTGGTAGAGCGTCAGTCTGCGGACTGAAAGGTCCCGGGTTCAATTCCGGTCAAAGGCATGTACCTTGGTTGCGGGCACATCCCCAGTAGGAGGTATGCAAGAGGCAGCTGATCGATGTTTCTCTCTCATCGATGTTTCTAGCTCTCTATCTCTCTCCCTTCCTCTCTGTGAAAAATCAATAATATATTTTTTTTAAAAAAAGACAAATTGATAAGGCAATTTCCTAATTAAAAATTTGAAATTAAAGATTTCCTAATTATATAAAACAGAAGGTATAAAAATAAGCTACAATTTAAGTGCAACATGTATGCAAAAGGCTGAGAAAACATAATTCAAAAACATGGATATTTTGGTTAACCATAGGCTAACAAAAGTAAAATCTTAATCTGGATAGCTATTTAACATAGGTATTATAACCATGATTGCCCACTGCCTTTGTATTAGAATCACCTGTGATTGTTAGCTTAGATTAAGTTTAAAAGCTTTCCAACAAGTGTCTGAAATGCAGCAGTTCCATATTGTTGATTAAAGAGTGCCCCCAATAGGTATGATTCATGAACTAAAAGATATAATTTAGTAAGGGTGAATTCTATACAGTAGCAATTCAGTAAATATTATCTTTCTACCTTCCAGAGGAGAGAAATGAAAGCTGGCATTATCATGTGGGAAGTAGAGAGGCATACTTATATTTTTGTCCAGAGAAGATGAGGCTAACATGATAGTCAAAATTCTTTCAGGTTCAGTCAGTAACATCATATTTTATTAAGAACTTAAAATAGATATATAAAGTCTAACTATAGTAGGTAGGTGTTATCTTTAGGAAATACATATGCTTCAAAGTAACACAATTAGGTACATTAATTTATAATAACAAATATTATTTAGTATAATTTCAGAAATCCATAACAAAGGTTATTTGTAAAGGGAATATTTGATAAGAATGCCCTCATCTTGGTAATTGACAAGAATGTGTTCATAATTGAAAGAATAATAAGTAATTGATAAGATTGCATTTATCTTGTATTATCAAAATTATGACAGAATTTTGAGTTCCAAAAGAACTTACAGATTTGCTAGATCAACCCAGTTATTTTAAAAGATGTGCTGGAGGGTAGGAACAGAAGTTAGCATAATAAATGCAGGTGGTCCATCAAAATGTTGATGGACACCTTCAGCGGGGATGAAGATCTGCATAGGATTGCTACCCCAACCTGATGGTCCTTCATTGTTTACCAGGCCTGACCTTTGATATGTGTATCTGCTTTGCTAGGGGGCAAACGTGTGACTAAAAAGCCCTGGGTGCAGAGATTGGAGGATCTTAGTCACTAGAACTAACTTTCCATCGGGCCCTCCAAAATGCCTTCCAAATTCGTATTTCTTGTCTAGTCTCTTTAATCCACTTATGTACAGGCCCTTTTCCAGATTCCTGAACCTTTGTAGATGCTGAGAAAGATCCCGGCCAAGATGAGAAAACTGCAGACCAAAAAAGTTAAATGATACAGCCCAAATCATTACCTGAGGCAAGGCCTTGAGAGCCTGGACCTCCTGCCTTGGAGTACTTTTCCTTTTTCTAACAGACTATGCTGCCTCCAGTGGTTCTAAATCCTCTGGCTTGGATGACATTACTGGTCTCCTCTCTGGTTTTCTTTACATCCTATTCTGAACCACAGCTGTCATTTGTGACTTACCCATAAATTTCCAATCTGTTCTCTTAATGGTTTTATCCTGAGTATGTCAATCCTCAGCTTTCTAAATTTCAGACTCATAAACAGAGGTTTGACAAAATGCTTGAAACAAATGCAGAATATACATAATCAAACCCAAGAAAAATTCTCTCCTGGATAATGTGATCTCCAAATTAAAAACAAAAAAATATTTAATGAGCAACTCTGCTATGCAAGGTCTCTGTTAATTGCAGGGATGGGAAGCGGAGTAAGATGCGGTCCTTGTGCTTATAGCCTAGTGAAAACAATTACCGGTAAACCAACCATTACACAGTGCTTGTTAAGACTCCAAACAAGGGATGGGCAGGTGGGAATTAGATAGGAGGGAATCTACGGTAATTTAGAATGATGGGCTCAGCTGACAATTTCCCAATGAGGCCCTAAAGAGCAATAGGGGAAAAATGCCAGTATTACCCATATTTATCCAAGTCCAACATGAATCAAAAGAGACATAGAAACTTCAATTTATTCAGGGGTTTTAAAGAAAGAAAATTGTGTGTGCTCTATTTTCCAACGGAAAAGAACAAGCTTTCACCCTGGCCAGGTGGCTCAGTTGGTTGGAGCATCAAAAGGTTGCTGGTTCAGGAGGCAACAGACCCAGATCGAAGTTTCTCTCTCACATGGATGTTTTTCTCTCACATCGATGTCTCCCTCTCTCTCTCTAAAAAAAAATAAAATAAAATAAAAATATATCCTTGGGTGAAGATTAAAAAAAGAAAAGGACCTGTTTCGTTGTGGCTATATAACAAATACAGAACTCCAATCACTTAATGCAATTTTAAATCACTATTTTTAAAACCAAAGAAGAAAAATGCACCTAAAACCTGTCTAGTTAATACTCCTTCGCAAGAACTCTCTCCAAAGCTGCACACTAAATACTCCTCAAAATTACAGGGGGGAAATCTCATCAGGTAGAAGAGAATTAGGGACCAACCGGCGCGTTCACCCTCCCCTCGGGGCGAGGATCGCTCAGATCCCCAGGCTGTGCCTTTGGGCGGGAAGGTTCAGACCAGACAAGCTCTGCGGGCACTTGTATTTACATTTTTAAGCAAAGTAGGGGGGGGGGGGCAGAGGGGGAGTCCCAAGAGTATAGGGGGAAATCGTGGAAAAGATAAGGATGTGAGGGGACGGAAAAGAGAGAAAAGGGGTGGACTAGAATCCAAAAACCAAAGCCAGACAAACGGGCCGATGGAAGAAAGACAGGAGAAGAGTTGGGGAAAGAGCGGTGGAGGGAGAGGGAGGCCGCGAGGAATAGGGGAAGGGGAAAGGGAAGGAGAAAGGGAAGAGGAAAGGGAAGGGGAATGAGAAGGGGAAAGAGAAGAGGAAAGGGAAGGGGAATGGGAAGGGGGAAGGGGGAAGGGAAAAGGGAAAAGGAAGGGGAAGGGGAAGGACTGTCTAAGAAAACGATGGGAGAGAAAATGCGGGAGCAGAGAAAGCAAGGGGCTGGGGAGGAATAAAGCCGGACGGGAACACCCGGGCAGCGGGGCGGAAGAATCGGGGCGAGGGAGCGCCTCCTTTTTACCAGCCTCGGCGTCCCAGGGAAGGCAGGCATTCGGCGCCGCCGGGAGGACGAGCCCGCGGGCGGACAAGGGCCGGCGGCCCGGCCTCGCCTCCCCCGGGCGCGGGGCGGGGCGGCGGCCGCTTACCTGGACAGGGAGCCCGCGCTGGGCGGCCGCGCCGCCGCCGCCGGGGACTCCAGGCTCTCGCAGCTCGAGCTCCTCTCCATGGCGCGGCGGGCGGCGGGCGGGCGGGGCGGCCGGAGCGCCTCCGCGGCGGCCGGGCGGAGGGCGGGGGCGGAGTGCCGGCGGGACCCGCGGTCAGGCCGGCGCCGGCCCGGGCGCGAGACCGGAAGCGGCCATGTTCCCCCCAGAGTGCACCGCGCGGGCTGCCGGGCGGAGGACCCCTGGCGCCCCCGGGCGCGCCGGGAGGGGGCGGGTCCCGCTCGGGGCTCCGGGCGGCGGGGCCACCGGGAGGCTGGGGGAAAGGAGGGAGCACCTGTTAGAAATGGAGAGAATGAAGGGAACTCTAGGGGCTCAAGGTCCTGGACCTGAGGGAGGAGGAGGGCAGGCCGGAAGGTGGAGGTGAGCGAGAGGACCGGTTAACGGGAAGGTGAGCAGACGTCCCGCTTTTGGCGGGACAGTCCCGATTCCTAGCAATTTGTCCCGCATCCCGCGGCGTCTTAAAAAAAGTCCCGATTTTTTGGAAAAAAATCGGGACTTTTTACAAACGCCGCGGGACAAATGGTTGAAACGCGGGACTTCTGGTCACCTTAGTTAACGGGACGCGGGCGAAGGGCAGGATGTTAGGGGGACACCGGTCAGGTGGGGGGGGGGGGGAGGAGAACAGGATAGGATCGGAGCAATGAAATGAGCAAGATGTTGGCCAGAGCAGGGCCTGAGAAGAATGATTAAAGAATGAAGTGGTGCCGAAACCGGTTTGGCTCAGTGGATAGAGCTTCATCCTGCAGACTGAAGGGACCCAGGTTCGATTCCTGTCAAGGGCATGTGCCTTGGTTGCAGGCACATCCCCAGTGGGGGGTGTGCAGGAGGCAGCTGATGTTTCTCTCATGGATGTTTCTAACTCTCTATCCCTTTCTCTTCCTCTCTGTAAAAAATCAATAAAAATATATATATTTTTTTAAAAAACTAAAAACTTAAAAAAGAAAGAATTAAGTGGTCAGACTTGAATTCGAATCCTGCCTCTGCCAGGGACTTCGCAGGTTCTGTCACCCAGGACAACGAGCATCAGATAGAAGCAGTTGTTATCCGTGAAACTGGAAGAAGAGCAGCTTCGCCGTTTAGATGAGTTAAGAATACATGTAAGCCGAAACCGGTTTGGCTCAGTGGATAGAGCGTGGCCTGCGGACTGAAAGGTCCCTGGTTCGATTCCGGTCAAGGGCATGTACCTTGGTTGCGGGCACATCCCCAGTAGGGGGTGTGCAAGAGGCAGCTGATAGATGGTTCTCTCTCATCGATGTTTCTGACTCTCTATCCCTCTCTCTTCCTCTCTGTGGGAAATCAATGGAATATATTAAAAATAAAAAGAAAAGAAAAGAATACATGTAAAATGCCTAGCAGTGGGTAGGCAAACTGCGGCTCACGAGCCGCTGTTCGCTGCTCTGTTGACTGATGAGTTTGCCGACCACTGGCCTAGAGCACTCCTTAGCACACAGTAGGCACGCGAAGGTTAGCTGTGAGCATCACGACCCACTTCCTAAAGGTTGCTGAGGTGGGCTGGACTAATGTATATAATAAACAGTTTCTGACACAACTTCAAAATAGTGGTAGTCGCAGGAGGGGAAATACAGGGAGGGTGGCAGGGGAGTGAGAAGTGACTGTTAAGGGAAGGGTAATGGGGGGGCATGGGACCCATGGGGAGAGAGGGTAACAATGCTCATCTCGGAAAAGGCACCAGGACAGAAGCTCGAACTTTCAGTTCTCCTGTGCTTTGGACGGAAGTCTGCGGGGTCTGGGAGTGTCTGTGGGGGGAAAGCACTTTGCCACTCGTCTGTTGCTACACAAAGAGGTACGGAAAGGAAAAACGGATGAAGATGTACAAGAATTAGACACATTTTACGCAGTGTGGTGGGGTTGGGTACAGGGCAAACTTTTCGCCATCCCTCCCTGCCCTCTCAGACTCCCCTGCAGGGCAGGAAGGGAGGGCAAAGGATAGAACTGTGATAAGAGCACAGGAACTGAGGGAGAGGAAATGCTTCTGCTGGTAATTTTCTGTGACAGAGGACACAGGAAGGACATGGACAGGATACCACAAAGGAATGTTTCTGATTGAGGCTGAGTCCCAATCACTTCACGTACGGTGCAGAAAATGTGCAAAAACTTTCTGCAAAAAAGTATTTTCACAATCGCTTTTGAAAAAATCAAAACACTTCCTTGCTAGGATAAATACAATTATGTTGATTTAAACTAGATTAAATTTATATTGAAAATATGTTTTTAAGAAAATCTTAACATATAGGACCAGTGAACTATTAACGTGCAAGTATATTCCCCAAAAGAACATCCTAGCCTAGTTGTGTTCAGCATAAGCTGGAGCACTTATTAAAATGAATTAATGTATGTGAAAGCATAAAAGGCTTAGCCTTTCTGTTCCATTCTCCAGCTTGGCAAGGACAAGGTGACAGCTGATGTTTATTATTTCTATAATTTTTAAAGAAAATTTAACTGCACTCCTCTGACAGGCAAAGAGAGCAGGTAGTCAGAAACACTTAGGCATAATCATCTACATTGGTAAATAATTTGCTTATTACTTCCTCATCTCTACTTGCCTTCCAAAATGTGGACTCACTGTCTCTTGATACTTTGCCAGATTTTCCAAGCTAAGTTTGGTGAAGACTGATGAATCCTTGATTAGAAGACCCACGTGCTCTCTACTACTCAATTCATTTCTAGCGCTGTATCAATAGAGTACTTGAAACTGTAACCAGACAATCAATGGGTCCGTGCAGCCTGTCACTACTTGAGCCAATTAAGCAGAGTTGAACCATAAAAGCATTTATTCCAATACTACTGACAGTATGGGAGAGCAAGAGGTCATCAACAAAAATCTGCTATGCACCCACCGTAAGTCAGCTGCTTACATCGGGTAGAAGGACAGAGATTACATGGGAAGTACGCAAAAGGTAATGCCAAATGGGCAGTTACAGGTAATGCAGGCTGGAGATTTGTAAAGGCCTTTGGGTATGTAAAGGGCTGAGTGTCTTCAAAGGGCTGGCAGCTCTGGTTTCTGCAACAGGTGGTTAATCTTTCCCTGATAACAGGCAGCTCCTAAATGAGGAGGATGGGCCATATTTCCAGGTGAGCTCCCAGGTCCCATGTGAGTGCAACCCCTAGCCGGGTTAGGATGTGCTTTCTTTAATGAGGACAAAACAATCACGGTTAACAGAGCATGATTAATATTTCTTACAATTATAGCTGGTCCCCAATATACTATTTCTGCTCGTATCAAAACCATCTGCCTGATGATGTAATAATTTACATATGGGCCAGTCTGGTGGTTAATAAAGAACACCAGTGTTAAGTGTAGATACTTTGGAGCTCATCTAAATTGGAATCCTGCTTCTGTCACTTACTTGCTCTATGATTTTCCTTAAGCTGCTTCTCCAAGACTCAGTTCTCTTATCTATAAAATGGAAATTAAAATGCCACAAAGTTGGTTGAACGGTAGGCTCTCAGTGCAGGAAGCCACTGCTTGGAAAAAAAAAATGGTGGGTTTTCATCTATTTTTACACATTGCAATCAAAGGAGGAGATGTGGGTGGGTTACATGAAATCTATTGGTGATAGATTAGATAGGTGGGAGAAAGCAAAGCTTGAAACCTCTGGGATTGGATAAAAAGTAAAATGAGAGACATATACTTAGATGGGTGTAGGATAGCCAACTGTCAACAATTAATATGATAACAATGGAGGAATTTGTGGTATCTGTCCTGGCACCCAGGTACATTAGGTTGTGCCCCAACAGGTCCAGAAAAGGGGAGTTACAAGTTACGCAGACATTTCAAGGGTATCTATATGCTAGTATATAAAAGCCCAGAGACCAGAATAGCAGAACGACCAGAATGACTGGTGGCTATGATGCACACTGCAGGAGCCAACCAGCCTGAACCGGGCCCCAATCACCCCACCCTGGCTGGCCCCACCCCTGATCAGCTCCCAACATCCTGATTGGGGGTGGGGCCAGCTTGGCCCCATAAGCCCCCATCAGGGAGGGCTGGCCGAACCCCACCCATGCACAGATTCATGCACCAGGCCTCTAGTGTTATTATATTTGCAAAAAGAAAGATAGGCTCAGTTAAGGTAATGGTTGACCTTGTCAGTGAAGATACCAGCCTAGGACATTAACTACCCACCATAACTGCTTTTAGTTAAAGATTAATTTCAGACCATCTTTTGTGGTTACTTTAGGTCTCTGAGTTTGCAAGACCACCATGAAAGGCCTTCCCTGAGCCTGTCAGGTTAGCATGTGGCCTCTTTCATCCACAACAAAAATATAATTTTTTAAAATATCAAGCATGCTTTTCAGTAATTATTTCTATCCAAAAATTTAAATTTTGTAATTACTTTTGGTTGGAAAATTCTGCTAGTATGCAGGAATAAAAGCTCCTAACAGAATGACCTTCCACAACTATAAATTCAACAACAACCAAAAACACAGCTAGCAGAAGGGTCAAGAGAGTGAAGCAGGCAGAGTGAAAATGTGGAGGAAATGACCAACACAAAGTGAATATCCCAGTTTGGCTAAAATTGTGGTGCTCCAGCTGACCAGACAGCTCAGTTGGTTTGAGTGTCCTCCCAATACACCAAAGCTTTGGGTTCAACCCCCAGTCAAGGCACATGCAAGAATCAACCAATGAATGCATAAATAAGTGGAACAACACATCGATGTTTGTCTCTCTCAAATCAATAAATAAAAATAAAAATGAGATGTATGTAGTACAGGGTGGCAAAAACTCACCTAGAAAGCCTGCTATCTTTCTGGTCTGAGAAAGCAAGAGACAGAAGCCCAGGGAAGCTAAAGAATGAGGCAGGGATTCTGAAAAGGAGAACCAGAGAGGGGAACTCTGAACTTTATGGACTCAGACAACCTCTGCCTAAATCCTAATTTGATTCAAGTAACAAAGACAGAATGCAAGTAGCTCAGATAAAAGAACCAAAAATATGATATCCTTCTACTTTTTTAGATAAAATAAACTTAAGCAAGGTTTGAGTTGTTACCCTCTATAAACAAGACAAAATTCTATTTGTTTACAACCAAGTTAATTTCTTGCTAAATAAAA